AAAGTTACTTACATGAGTTATAAAAATGTGCAAGTGACTTTTTCATGCTTGTAAATAATTAAAATAATTTGGAATTTTTTGAAAATGCACTTCAGCCTTATGAAAAGAATTATTCCGGGGCTAAGCTGGAGCCACGCACTTTTTCGAACTCCGAGGTTTGCCAAAATACCTTTATAGTTTTGCCGAGATGACTGAGAGGATGAACAAACTTCAGACCATCAGCCAAAAGTGGGTTGATTGTCATGCGCTGGTCGTACAGCTCACGAATCACCTGGAAGTTTCGATAATTTATAAATCTAATACAAATTAGTAATAAGATGTTACAGCGTCGGTAAAAATCTTGTCGCCGTCTTTCTTAGATGGATCACGAAAGTAAATAAGGAATGGCAGTCCTTCCTCCGTCAAACCTTCCACGTTCTCAAAAGTAACTTCTCTGTAAGAGGCACAAGTTATAAAAACGCATAACAAGCTGTTCCAAAATAATCAGATTTACATGTCCTACCTCACTATTGGTATGCACTTGTCTGACAACCACTGTTTGAGGTAGGTATAGTTTTTCAGATCTCCAACAAACTAAATTTTTGCCAAGTGTACGTAAAAGCAAAAACTAATCATCATATAGTGCCATACGTCGGTAGGTTTTTCATTATTCGGAGGTAGATAGTAAAGCCGATACTTGGTTTCTGGTTGAATTGTTCCCACACTGGGCACCCATATTTGACAGTAATCTCGAAGAAGGATTGCAAGATTCTAGAAGAGAATACCTGCTTTTGGTAATTGATCCTACTGAGACTTACATAAATATTTCTATATTCTTGACCATCTCTTCGGATATACGCAACAACGTTCCGAGCCGAATCATCCATTATTTTTCTGAGTTCTCGGTCATCTCGAAAATCACGGACAGAACCAGCATAATGGACAGCCACAAACGTGACTAAACTGTCGACATTTCGACTTCCTCTAAACAAAGTTCTAACTGAATCCTACTTTTGAGCTTTACTGACTTGTCGATCTTGCCCTGAAGAAACTTTTGGTAGTTTGTGACACTTTCAATCAGAATAAAAA